AGATCAAATGTGCTGCCATGGGAATTTGTATACACATAATGTGGCACTTCCTGTTATGGTTTCAATCTTTGGATTCATGCCCTAGCTTGGCACTCAAAATCTGCTGACCTTTCCAGTTTCATCTCTAGTCTCTGAACCCCTACTCACATTTATGTACACACATACATACCCCAAGCTCCAACTTTACTGAATTGTAGTTCCCCAACATGCCTTTTTTTCTTTTTATTGAAGTGTAGTTGATTCACAATGCTGTGCCAATCTCTGCTGTGCACCACAGTGACTCAGTTTTATACACATAGACATGATTTTCTATATTCTTTTCCATGATGGTTTATCCCAGGAGATTGGATATAGTTGCCTGTGCTATACAGTAGGACCTTGCTGTTTATCCATTCTAAATGTAATAGTTTGCATCTACCAACCGCAGACTCCCAGTCCATCCCTCTCGGCAACCACAAGTCTGATCTCTATGTCAGTGAGTCTGTTTCTGTTCTGTAGATAGGTTCATTTGTGCCATATTTTAGTTTCCACATGTAAGTGATATCATATGGCATTTGTCTTTCTCTTTCTGACTTCACTTAGTGTGATAATACTTGCATCCATGTTGCTGCAAATGGCATTATTTCATTCTTTTTTTACGACTGAGTAGTATTCCATTGTATATATGTACCACAGCTTCTTTATCCATTCATCTGTCAATGGACATTTAGGTTGTTTCCATGTTTTGGCTATTGTGAACAGTGCTGCTAATGAACATAGGGGTGCATGTACCTTTTTGAATTATAGTTTTTTCTGGGTATGTGCCAAGGAGGGGGTTACTGAATCATATGGTAATTCTAATTTTAGTTTTCTGAAGAACCTCCATACTGTTCTCCAGCAGTACAACTTACATTCCCACCAACACTGTAGGAGGGTTCCCTTTTCTCCACACCCTCTACAGCATTTGTTATTTGTAGACTTTTTAAGATGGCCATTCTGACCGGTGTGAGATAGTACCTCATTGTAGTTTTGATTTGCATTTCTCTAATAATTAGTGATGTTGAGCATCTTTTCATGTGCCTATTGGCCATCCATATGTCTTCTTTGGAGAAATGTCTATTAAGGACTTCTGCCCATTTTTCAATTGGGTTGTTTGCTTTTTTGTTGTTGAGTTGTATGAGCTGTTTGCCCTTGTCGGTTGCATCATTTGCAAATAATTTCTCCCATTCTGTAGGTGGTCTTTTCATTCTTTTTATGGTTTCCTTTGCTGTGCAAAAGCTTGTAAGTTTGATTAGGTCCCATTTGTTTATTTTTGTTTTTGTTTCTATTGCCTTGGGAGACTGACCTAAGAAAATATTGGTACGATTAGAGAATGTTTTGCCTATGCTCTCTTCTAGGAGTTCTGTGGTGTCATGTCTTATGTTTAAGTCTTTAAGCCATTTTGAGTTTATTTTTGTGCATGGTGTGAGGGTGTGTTCTAACTTCATTTATTTACATGCAGCTGTCCAACTTTCCCAGTACCACTTGCTGAAGAGACTGTCTTTTTCCCGTTTTATATTCTTGTCTCCTTTGTTGAAGATTAATTGATGATAGGTGTGTGGGTTTATTTCTGGGCTCTCTATTCTGTTCCATTGATCCATATGTGACAACATGCCATTTTTAATTCCTCCCCTTCTCTCTCTGTTCTTCCTTCCTTCCTTCCACCTCTGCTTGAATCAGCCTCAATCCCTGGCCTTACTGTAACCCACTCTCATAGTTTGGTGCTGGATGCACCCCCAGCTCAGAACTCTAAGCTTAAAAGCCATTCCCTGGACTTCCCTGGTGGTGCAGTGGTTAAGAATACGCCTGCCAATGCAGGGGTCACAGGTTCGGTCCCTGGTCCAGGAAGATCCCACATGCTGCGGAGCAACTAAGCCCCTGCGCTGCAACTACTGAGCCTGCACTCTAGAGCCCGGAGCCACAACTACTGAGCCCATGCACCACAACTGGTGAAGCCCACATGCTCTAGGGCCCGCGGGCCACAACTACCGAACCTGCTTGCTGCAGTTACTGAAGCCCACACGCCTAGAGCCTATGCTCCGCAACAAGAGAAGCCACCGCAACAAGAAACCCGTGCACTGCAACATAGAGTAGCCCCTGCTCGCCACAACTAGAGAAAGCCCGCACACAGCAACAAAGACCCAACGCAGCCAAAAAATAAAAAGGAAAAAAAAAAAAAAATTCCCAGGCATAGAGTTTCCATGATGTGTGTATACAGGTATATGCTTATGTGTGTGTGTCTGTATGTCTGTGTATGGCCAGAGTGCACAAGCACTTTTAGCAAGCACGTTATTCAACTCCCCCATTTAACAAAGCTGAGCCCAGGATTAAATTCTGTGGTTTCTGAATTTTCAGGAGGTGACATGCTGCCTTTGGTATCAAATTTGATTAAACTTGATAACTTTAATGCCATTTGGTTCTGTTGGGGAGGAAGAATTAAATTGCTTACTCTAGAGAATGAATTTTTTCCACTAAGGAAAAGAACATTTATTAAAATTATCTTGGTGACTGAAAGGGGGAAATGTACTTCTTTTTCCTCAGCAGAAGCAGGTCCAAGGCATTATTAGCACGTGATAAAAATTGAATAATTGAGCAACACTGACTACTTTGGGATTCAGGTTTCCAGCCCCTGCTGTGTGATTAGTTCAGTTCAACCTGCTGGCATGCTTAAGCAGGGAGCCTGCAAAGGATTAGGAAGGAAAAACCCTTTAACAAATCTCAGGTACTGAAGACATTTGATTTAATTTTACATGTTACAAAGGTAATCTGGTTTCCCTTGGCAACCTCCAGTTCTACCCTACTTTATAATCAGAGGATGGCAGGTAGATTACAGACTTGATGGCATCATCTGGAAGTGACCATAGGGAACAGAGTTTGCCTCAAAAGAGGAGAGAAAAAGGTCAACATAAAAGGACAGAAGAGTCTGAGTTCCCTTAAAAAAAGGACAGATAGTTCTCTATAGCTCAGATACCCATGAGGGTTTCATTGATGAGGGAGGTTCCAGAACTACTTATAGCAGAGCAGTTTGGGACATGAGGGAAAGGGATCAAGCCTTTTAAGTCTTTAAAGGGATAATAATTTTATTACTTGTGAAATACAGATAAGGTTTTAATTCAAAAATGACAGTAATAGTTACCATTTATTAAGTACATGCCAGGAATCTTACTTGATTCTTTACATACATAATTTCATTAAATCCTTATAATATCTCTGCAAGGGGAGTATTAATATCCCTTTACAGATGAGGAAACAAGTATTTATTGATCTGTTAAATAAAGTATGGAGGCTGAAGGAAGGTGGGGTAACATTGAATACAAGGTTTCAACTTTAGTCGATTTTTTAATTTTTTTATTATTTATTTTTTCTATGATCTCAAAGTCCTATAAGTCTTAATAGCCCCTGTTACAAAACAGTATACTAAGTAATGTCCATTAATGATGACCTTTAGCCATCCAGAAAATTTTAAATTATAATCATCTTAGTCTAACTCTCTTATTTTATACATTAGGAAACAGAGTGCCAGAAATCTGGTAAAGCCTAAAGCCAGGTCTTCTGACAACTCATAATTTGTGTATTACACCATGCCCATGCACTTTCAGAGAGAGCTTGAGTAAATGGAAGGCAAGAAGGAAGGGGTCTTGCAGCGCTATAAATGGTATTAGTTTGAGCTAGCAAAGTAAACAAACTAACAGATCGGAAGGTACTGATGAGACATTTAGGCATTGGGAACAGTTCTAGTTCTTACCTAGCTAGTGATTAATTTATTCTGCTTGGCTCATGTCTGAACAAAGTAATGCACATAATGTTTCCAAATGATCCTAAGTCTTTAGCAGTCTCTGGTGCCCCACCAGCCACTTGAAGTTTAAAAGGACAGGGTTCTACATATGAACAACAAAAGCTGTCTCTCTCTCTCTCTGTCTCTCTGTCTCTTTCTCTTTGTCTCCCTGTCTCTCTCTCTCTGTGTCTTGCTCTCTCTGTCCCTCTCTTTCTCCAGGTCTTGAAGTGGATGTGACTGGCCATTTTTGTGACATGTAGAAGCAGAGACTACTTATGGCATTTTATTGACTTACACACGTATGCTTCTGTCATGTTCACAGAATGCTGTATATACAAGGCAGGCCATGTATTACCTTTCTTTAAGGTGAAAGCTATGGGAGTCTAATGGCAAACTGAGAAATCTTAGTGTCACACACTTACCATGCAAAGCATTTTATATGAATTTCACTTAATCCTCATAACGACCATGATTGTGAATGTTATTGTTTTCATTTTAGCAACTTTTTCAGTTTTTTATTAATCCTTCCCAGAACATTCTCCCTAGCATTTAATTATGAGAATTTTCAAAACTATATTAAAGTTGAAAGAATTGTACAGTGAACACCCATATACCCACCTAGATTCTATACTTGTTGCTATTTTTCTTTATTTGCTTTATTATATACCTATCAATTTATCCAGCCACCCATCTTAGTTTTTGTTGTATTTCAAAGTGAGTTATAGACATTAGCACATTTTACTCCTAAACACTTACATGTGGATATCATTAATTAGAGTTAAAAATGTTAGCTCTATTAAAAAAACAAAAAAAACTGAGTCCTTCTTTGGAGACATAGTATGTACTCCTCAATTACTTTGAACTTTCCCCTATGAAATAGTAAGATATTTAAATATATATATATAAGTTACCCATATTAAAAAACACTTGTAACTCATTAATGAGAAATAGAAATCTGTGGGGAGGAGGGGGATACCACTGTTGAATTCATAGGCCACAGCAAGCCAGCACTACAAAGTGGCATCTTACCTCACTTCTGATTTTAAATGAGATTGAGGTCATTGCTGCATTTCTGAACACTAACTCCTCTCCTGAAAAGGAGAGTTTGATTAGCCAATTACTTAAGCAGTTTACTAATGATATTGGAACCAAATTTCAATGAACATTTTTTCCCTTTTCTTTCTGGGTGTGACTAAATTGCCTACAGCATGCTGCATGGTTGCTGGTAAAACAGGAAATGGGGTAAGTAATTTAGGTAGGGAATTTTTACTACCCTTTAAATATAAGCTACCTGATTCTTAAAGTACTTTTACTACTACTATCTCTTTTTTTAGAGGGAGTTCACTAGCTGCTAGAGAAATTGGCACAAAGAGGAAATTTTTATTGTGTATATTTAAGGTGTTAACGTTGTTTAATTGGTTTATTTGCACAGCATATTAGTAGTCTATTAAAGCAGACTCATTTTTTTTTGGTAGATTTATCATGAATGTAAATGCATGTAGTTTGGCAACTGATTTTAAAGGAACACATTTTACACTGGTTTTAGAAACTAAATTATAAAATTAATTATGCTATAAAAGATACATAGTAAAGTCCTAGTTAAGGCAGAACAACAGTGAGTTTATACATAGATAAGACATAGAAAACATAGGTCCACAATCCTTTATCTGAAACCCTTGGTGCCAAATGTGTTTTGAAATTTAGAATTTTTTAGACTTTGGAAATATAATGCAGTATAAATACCATATATAATATACCCATCTCCTCCAGGGTCTGGGATAGTACTATATAATCAAACATTAATATTTCTGCAGTGAAATATATGAATAGTCACAATAAATTTGATAAAGTCTAAATAAATAGCCTCACATGTTCAAGTCAGAGTTTGGTTGCCAACTGAGTTAAGGAAAAAATCTTTAATTTCCCAGAGCTTTCTGGATTTTGAAATTAAAAATTTTATACCAGTATGAAAAGGACCATGTGACTACTGGAGTTTCCTGTGTACTCTGGAAAGAAAACCACAGAGAGAAGTATAAATTTCTGTATCAGAATCTCATACTTGGTGTTTTATAGAAAATTAGTTGATTTGGCTTTTTTGTGTGTGTTGTATTTCACATCTGCATTTTTAAAAGGGTAATAACCACATATTTATTAAAGGTTTGGGGGTTCTGTTAGGTTATGTTAAATTAGTCTCAAATGCTTGTGATTCTGGCATAATAAAATTTGATCCTATGAGAAATTTGTTAGCATAGTCAAGTCAGAGCATGCTATTTTTTAAATGTTTCCAGTTTGCGTCTACCTTGCTTGCTGTTGTTATTTCTTATTGAAGGATTTTAAACTAAGCTTAGTTCTTCCAAAAGATCCTGATCAATATAGGGATACTAGAACAGAAAAAAATATAGAATAGTAGTCTTTTCTCTCAGTGTCCCTAGTTCATTCTAATATCAAAAGGTTGCGGAGGAATTGCCGTTAAAGAATTGATTCAAGGAATTTAGGAAAAAATGTATTGGATATTTTGGTTCATGTTTGCTTTAGAATGGTTATCCTGTTGTATCTATAGCAAAAGTGTGATCCTAATTAATATCCTCATCATTAGTTATCTAGCAGAGGAAAGAGGGAAATGCAGCTACTAAGTATTAAATTGGTACTGAATTTACCTTAATGACTACTGATTCCCCTAAAGGACCATCAGCCATAAGCTAAGGACCTTTGTGAAAACATTCACCCTAAATTATATTAGAAAAGCTATTAGCCACATTCAACTTGCAGGATTGAAAATATGGAGTTTTAAGTATTATATTTTTGCCTTAAATGTGAGGTTAAGGTTTCCAAAATGTCTCTTAACGCTTTCTTATAGCTCTTTAATCTGGAAGGAAAAAATTACTGTTGAAGTTTTTAAACTGGATTAACGTGCTTTAAATGTTTTTCAGAGACATGAGGGACTTAAAGTATCAGTTTTCTTAAATATATAATGAGTAATGTTTTAATCCATTTTTAGGATTGGCTTTGGCTACAATCCTTTGTACTCTCTAGAGTCTAAACAATTTTTAAAGGGTTTTCCATTCTTGTGTTTTCTGTTTCACCTTTTTATTCTTTAAAATGTGTGCTCATACCTTAATTATTTACTTTTCAACTGCGATGCTATTTTATGCAAACATCATTAGTTAAACTGTTGATACAATATCAAGATAGTCTGAAAATTTCTAAAATGTTTCTGATAGAGAACTAGGAACAGTTTATGAAGCTAAAACGCTCAGTGTTTGAACAAGTTCTTAAGTGTAAGGAAGTAACTTAATTTTTTTGTCAGATGTAGGGCTTATCAGAGTATTTCATTGTTAAACCACAATCCCAAAGCATATGAAAGCATTCTGTTTAACCAGTTATTCTCAGCTGGATAAGAATGGGTAGATCAACTATTTCTTAATTTGCATTTTTTAGAGGGACAGTGGTCTTTGTGTGTGTGTGTGTGTGTGTGTGTGTGTGTGTGTGTGTGTATTTAGATCAATTAAGTTTAGCCATTAGCTAAATTATTTTTTGTTTTCTACCTGTAATTCTTAGTGTCTTTTGGTCTTGAGGAATTAAATTACAATGGATATTGACTATATTGTCCTTTCTAATAGTGAAAATAGGACATTGAAAGAAATGATTCGCAAGTTGGCCTAAACACCTCTTTTGTTAAAAGCAGTCCTGTAAATAGCTATAGGACTGATTTGAAGTTTTAATTATTTGAATGATACAGCCTGTTTAATAGTGATACTGCAGAGTAGGACTGTTTAAATATTACCATACCATGTTTTTCTTTCCTTTTTCTTCAGTTCCTTTCTATCTCATTTTAGGTTACAAACTAAAAGCTAGAACTCATAATTGGGACTTCCCCAAACCTATTTATTGGCTCATGAGTAGATTTTGGGGGAATGTAAAATATTTATTGAGATATTTATATGTTGTTAAATTGATGAGCATTCTAGAACACTGATACTTTAGGATTTGATACTTCTTCTTTACCAGTAAAGAGAAGTACAGCTTTTACATTGATTTCCCAAAAGTAAGCCCCCATTATCAGGAAGAGAGTAGATACAAACATTTTTGGTCTGAGATTATTGTAATACACAGTTTGTAGTTTCTAAGCAATAAATAATCCTCTCTATTCCACCTTTCCATCTTCTGATGTATAAATCCTGGAATCTGGCAATTCTATCTCAGAAAAACCCCATTTGTATGCTTTTGTCTTTGAAGCTTCAAAAACTGTCTTATATGCCATTAAAAAAAAGCAGTTTCTTGATTCTACTAGAATATAGGTCCATGAACTGAGGAATTTTTGTCTGCTTTGGTCTCTGCTTTCTATTTAATGTGTACAATAGTGCCTGGGACATAGTAGGCACTCAATAATATATACTTTTTAATAATCACATAAATTCTTACTTTCATAAAAATGAAGCTTTTCATGTCAGTGAATTAATTTTTATGTTATTCAGAAAGCAGAGTCTGTCGCTGGAAAGAAATGATACAGTTCAGCTAAAAGAAGCCTACAAATGGATAACTCACCCCCTGTTTTCAGAGGAACTGGGTGTTCCCATTGATGGAAAGGTATTGGGTCATCAGCATTTTTAATTTTATTCTGTGGTTTTACTAGTTTTATTTCATTAAATGGCAGAGTTTTGGTTATCCAAAAGAATCTTCTCTTTCAATAATCCAATGAAGGATTTTTAAGATTTTAAAATGTTAATTTCTAACAGTCTTAAATTGAGGTTAAAGTTTTTCTTTGTTTCTTTTTTTTTTTTTTTAAAGATTTCTTTGTGATCCAAGACACTTATAACAGGTGCAGTGTATTCTAATTGACCTTAAAAGGTTAGAAGTGAATCTTTGCCTTTAGTATATTTATAGTTTAATTAGATAGATTTACTGATACAAAGCTAAACATAAATAACTAGGAACAAGTGTGGAGTCAGCTCTAGACTATTTAATTTTGGTTATCTGTGGCTAGTTTTGTTTTCAAATATGCAGACAGACCCTATTCAACTACAGTGAGCATGGGCTCAACCTATCCCACCTTGTTGGTATCTCAGGTCCCTCTGTTTAATTTTAAGCAGACTGCCTTTGAAACCAGAACACTTACCATCTCCCCTATTCCAAGGCAGACCTTGCCTCAGCCTTTGAAATGGATTGAATTTTAGGGAAGAGTTCAATAGGTTTCCAGAGATGGAAACAGGACATTTTCCCAGCTCCTCTTAAATTAGACTTTAATAGTATGGCCTCATTGCTTCATCATTTTGCATGAAGGAAACTCCCTGAATATCAGACACACCCCTATTCAAGTAAAGTCACAAAACCATCTTTCAAAGCTAAGTAATTAAAAAATTTTCCTCGTTCTGAATTACATAGCTCTGTTTCCCTCTGTTAGTAAGAGTAAGCTCTGTCCTTTAAACTGACTACTAACAGAATAGAGAATAAAACCACTTCACCGATAGTATGAAGAGGAAATGAGGTGATGAAAGTACTTTGGAAATTAGAGAAGTCATTGATGCAAAATATTTTAACCTCAAATTTCAGTTTGAAGCACAGATAATTTTACATGTTGAATCAGTGAGAACAGAAAATAAAAAACAAAAGATGTGGTAATGTTCTAATGGATTCAGGATGAATGAAGTTTTCTTGAGTAAAAAGAATGTGTTGCAATTTTAATTTTATTTTGTAGATTAGAGCAAAAATTTAGCTATTCACTATTGTGATTATAGAGTCGCTAATAGGCCTGCTGACGATCCAATGCAATCAGAAAATATAGAACACAATAAAAAAGGAAAAATTGTTATATGGTATGATATTTATATATTTTTCTCAGTGTGGAATTTTGTATAATCTCCATGGAGGTAAATGTATATAGAGTATGAACTTGTGCTTTTTTGTGTACAAGGATGTTCATTGTGGCATTTTTTAAAAACAGAAAAAACTTAACTACAACTTAAACGTCCAACAGTCCCTAGAGTGGAAAAGATGTTCATGATGCAATATTAATTGAATTAAGCAATTTTCCAAGTCTGTTTAATATACAAAGAAGTATATACATTTATGTTTATATTCATAAAAATGGCTAGAAGGAAACATGCCAAACTGTTACTGATTCTACCTCAGTGGAATGGGATTGAAAACCCATCCTGTTTGATTATTTTATAATTTATTATGATCACTTTTTTAATAAAACAAAAAATTAAGATCTTGCTTTTAAAAGTCAAATCCGTTAAGAAGTTTGAGCACTCAAAACAAGCCTCATACAGAGTTTTTAAGCATGTGCATAAAGTGCTATTTGCTTTGCTAATAATTCTAATCATAGTACTGACAGGAGTAATTCTTCATTTCTTTCAGTTATCCCTTTCCAATTCCCTGAATTCTCATTCATCTTCATACCTAATTGTACATTTATATATTTTTCTCAGTGTGGAATTTTGTATAATCTTATACAAAATTTATACATGTAGAAAAAATATACTTGTACAAAAATGTATACATGTACAAAAAATCATACAAATTTATTTTAAAATGTGTTTTAAACTTGTTTTTTGTGGGATCACTGATGATTGAGTTTTAGAAGTTAAAAAAAAAAAAAAAGATGATTTCCTTTACAGCTGCCCTGTGAACAAGCTGATTTGAAAACAGTAGTATTTCCAGTTTTTCTTGTCACTCTTTTTCTGAGCCAGTCTTTGAGAGTTAATTTCTGTTTCCATTCATAAGTTGTTAGATGTTAGTTTCCTTTTGCTCATCTTTAAACTGTCTTTATAATTTTTAGAGCTTGTTTGAAGTGAGTGTGGTCTTTGCTCACCCAGAAACAGTTGAGGATTGCCACTTCCTGTAAGTTACAATGTAAACAACAATGCCAATTGTGCAACATTGTTAATATTTTTTGATTTTCATGAAAATAGTATTGCTCTTCTTTCTAATGAGCCTGTCAGAACTTGTCATGTCTTAGTAGGTTGTGAGCTGTCTGACATAAGGGTCTAGGCAAACCAATGCAGCTCATAGAGGGATTCATTTTGTCTGCTTCTGATATCCTGAATTTAGCAGCCATGTTGTATAAAATATATTTGAATTTTATCCTCCCCAAAATAAACTCATTAATCTTTTATATTACCTTGAATTTTACTTAGACGTGCGATATGCCCAGATTGTTTCAAGCCAGCCAAAAACAAACAGGTAAGGATTCCTGCTTCTTACTCTTTAGTGAGTTTTGTCTGAGCTGAATATTCAAATTAACAACAAAAAGGATATGCATTAGAAATGTTGGCAATCTATTATACTAAGAATCAGTCTTTAAATATTTCCATTTGCTACATTTATTTCCATTTTTTCAATTCTCAACACCTTTGCCTTTGGCTGGGAAGTCATAACACACAAATGTTCTCATGCTTGTGTCAGTGTCTGGATTGTTTCCCCAAGATTATGTCATCTGGGAAAATACCTGTTCAGTATCATCACCATTCCAAACTTTTGTCTAATATTTATTTTCTAGAAATCGGTGTTTTGAAAATATAATCCAAAGTAAATTATTTTATTTAGAACAGTCCTGAATTAATAGAGCCTATTTCAGGCTACATTTGCCAAAAGGTATTTTATTTAAACTCTCCTTTACTGTCTGATGTGAGCTGGTCTTCATGTTAATGAGAAAAATTAGTTAGCATGTACTTTTAGTTTCTATTATGCCAGGATAGAATAGCATGGCATGATATTGGCAAGCTTTCACACCCCAGTTACTTAGCTGGTTTTGTGTAGACTCAGGCATTCCTAGTTTTACCGACGTCCATTTTGCTGTTGTGGTTGTTAAAAAGAATATAAGTTTATTGCCAAAGATACATCTTTTGGTCTTTCCTCTTGCCTGGGGTGGGAGGGGAGGGTTGGGGAGTTTGTAACATTTGCCAAATACCCTGTGTGGAAATAATCAGAAATGCAGGAAGCCTAAAACACTTCTTGCCTCCCTTTCTCACATCATGGTATACCTAGAACATTACCATGTTTGGCCAGCACCCTGAGGTTAACAGATGAAGTTGCTCTAAGTTGTAAGCAATAGGCCTGGGGGTTCTCATTGTTCCAGGCCCTGCCCCTCAGCCCTGGTGAACTAGAGGGATCTAGGCACAACTGTAGCCCAATTGGTATGCTTTGCCATACCAATTGGGAAGCTCTGCCCAAATGAGCTGTAAGCCATATTTATATTAAAGATCTAGTTTTATTTTTTGTTATCTTTGAGGAAGTATATAAGTACCAGCATCAAATAATAGAGTAAGGAAGTTTTTGTCAAACGATCATGGACACCACGCCATTTGGCCAGTAGGTGTTGTATAGTCTTAAATGTAGTTTTCCTGCCTTATGGCTGGGAATAATTTGAATGACCTTTTGAGATTCTTTCAGGCCTAAGATTTCATATCTTAACAAGCAGGCACTTAATTTTTAATTCTAACCCTAGGACACCTTAGGGTTCCCCAGAATATGGTTTAGAAAATCAGTTTTTTGATGATAAACTGTTTAGATACCTACATTATTCTTCTTTTCAGTCAAGTATAATTTCTCATAACAGAAGAAATAATTGTGATTTATCATAGTGACCACAAATATATGCACTAATTAGTTCTAGTATGTCTACCATGAGGTTTGGCTTTTCTTATTTTAAAAAACCCAGAGTGGGACATTTGTAGATGCCCTTTAATTCAGTATAGTGGATTAATTTACTTTCTCAGAGGTTGGTGAGTGATATTGAATTGCTAGATGCCAAGTCAGGCTGGTTGGCTCTGTTTTACCCCTTACCCTGGCAGCCAACTCCTAAACTATATACCGTGGCCCCTGAGGGATGTAGGGAAGAAAAGATAGATGGGTCAGTCTAAATTTCTTTTGAGGTCTAGGAAAAAATATTCAAAGCACACTTCCTGCAATGTCATCATTTTTGTATTTGAAGAATACCACATTTTGAGGGGAATGGGAGAGTGCAGTGAAGAAGACATTCTGCTAGATCCACCTGGTATTATAGACATAGACTAGATTGAAGAGAAGGGTTATAGGGTCTACCAATCACAGAACTGACAATATGAACACTTGTGCTTCATTTATTTTCTTGAAGTTATTAAGTATTTCTCCCTTTTAAGTATGGTTTAAAATGATATAATTTCTCCAACCATGTTCTTTGTTTCAACTCTGATGTTTTCTTATATGGGTGATAAAATGTCTTTTCTTTTCATTTTACCCTATATAGTCAGTATTCACTAGAATGGCAGTTATGAAAGCTTTGAATAAGATTAAAGAAGAGGATTTCCGCAAGTAAGTAGAATTATAGTAACAAGAAATAATCATGGAATTTTAGAATAAAGGGAATATTAGAAATAATCTGGATTATCTCTAAAACAAGACTGGATATATTTTAGGGAACAGGATTGTGTCTTAATCTTTATTATATCCCCAATCCCTGGCTCAGTATCTGGCATGTAGTGGTGTTCAGTAAATGTCAAATTAATATTTGAATTTATGAATCATGTCCAACTTCTTTATCTTTTAGAGGAGGATATTGAGGTCCAAAGAGGGAGTTGACTTGCCTAAGATTTCAACTGGGCAATAGAGAGTGGACATAGAGCCAGGTTTCCTGATTCTCCAGCCTACTACTGGCCCCATTACATCCCTTGTCCTGGATTTCCTGTTATTGTACATCTCCAGAAGAGGGAGAAAAGGGCTCCTGAGTTTCCTTTCTTGTTAAAATATACTGAACTACAGTAAATCTTAGATTTAATTCTCAGTGTGTTCATTTTATTTAATAAAATATTATCATAGTTATCCTTCCAGAAGAAGTTATGACGAAGGTTTCATATATTTTTCTGACTAAACATGAGTCTCAGAATGGAAATATTTTTATTAAAAAAAATTTTTTTTTTTGGCCACGCTGCATGGTTTGTGGGATCTTAGTTCCCTGAACAGGGATTGAACCTGTGCCCCTTGCAGTTGAAGCACAGAGTCCTAACCACTGGACTGCCAGGGAATTACCTATTAAACTTTAGGAAGTAAAGACAGTTACTCTCTACAAGCAATAGTTCCTGAGTTTCTAAGTGCTTTCTTTGTTAAGACATCTTGGGAAACGGAATGAAAACTTTAAGACAAGCATTTTGGATTAAGTCCACACCTAGTCATTTACAGGTAGATTCCATTCCATGGCTTTGGAATTTCTCAGATGGTGGACAGAGAATAAAGCCATGCATTGCTCTTTCTGGTCTGTCCTCAGCTGGATTGAAGTTTCTTAGCTAAAGGACAGAGTCTGCCATATTCCACTTTTTCTGGCTCTGTGGTCTGATTCCCAAGGTCATAGTTGAAATGAAGAGGAAAAAGAGAGAAAAATGTTGGGAGTACCCTCGCCATAGGTAGGACATGCTCATGTGGCTAGTCTCTGACTGCACACCAGCTTTACCCAAATGACTGAGGACCTTGTCAGCCAGCAGCAGTGTTCATGGATAGCAAAATAACCTGGAGAGGTTGCCACTACATATAGATGCATTTTTTTCCCCAAATCTCCAGGTTGATTTTGGAAACTGTCATTTGGGAACATGAGGCCTCCTGAGCATGAATGTTATTAGCGAGCCCTTATTTACTTAGTGCCACTCTCATGTATTAAAAGTGGTACTCCAGAGGCCTAAGAGACCCTTATGGTTCCAAAACTTAAAATTAGGGAGAGGCTTAGTCCTTGAGAGACTCAGGCTCTGTGTAACTCAGACAGTGTTGATTCATCTTAGTTATGTGTTTCAATATCATGTCTGGAAAATAGTAGCTGTAAAATTTATTTTGTTTTGCAGGCAGTTTCCTTGTCCTCCAAACTCACCAAAGGCTGTATGCAGTGTTGTTGAAATTGAATGTGCTCATGGTGCTGTTTTTGTGGCTGGTAAAATATTCAGTCCAGGATATACTTACATTGTCAATTTTCTCTGCTTTCTGAAAAACTCAACTAACTCCTCCTCTGTTTCCTTCTTACTGTTGTTATTAATTTCTGATTAGTTAACTCTTTTGAGAACTAGAGCTGATAACCAAGTTTATTGTAGGTTCTGTAGGCATTCTTAAGGGTCACTCAGGAGATTTGTTATTTAAAATGCCATGTTGAAGGGAAATGATACTTCCCAGGTTTAATAGTTTTCATCAGAGATGGCCAGGTAAAAATATGGGTACACGTACAGACCTCAGACTGGTCAGGAGAAGGGAGAGGATGTTTTATAACATGAAATCAATCCTGAAAAAAGTTATTTTGTTATCTGCAAAATGACTAAACATTTGGCTTCTGCCTGGAAAAAGAAATTGTTGCATTGACTTTCCCAAGAGGTAAATCGGGTAGACAGTTTTTGTTTTGAAAGCTACAGCTGTTTCATAGTAATAGCTGAAATGAAATTGCTCTTTAGTCTTGAGTATAATACCCTGCCCTGGCGTAATAAAAGCTACCTGCCTTGGAGTAGCTTTTTTCATAAAACAGTGAGTCATATTCTGTTAGGGTTTTTTTTTTTTTGCTTACAAAAACTTCAAAATTTCCTGTATTTGAATTCTTTGGAACACATTATCACCAATGACTATTACACTGAGAGTGTTATTAACCAGGCATAAAAACAGTAGTTGCTCTTTTTTTAAGTGATTCATAGTGTGTTCCATAATATTGTAACTTGTTCAGTCAGCCAAAAAGATTAATAAGTATATTGAGCATTCCTTTAGAACTCATTTGATGATTCATACCGTGTCTTTAGCCATCTCTTCTATTGCTACCTTAAATTTTTTCATTTAATTATGTGTATGTGTTGACTCTCCAAATTAGATTGTAAGTTAGTTGAAGGCTAAACCTTGTTTTATATCATAGCACCTAGGATACTGGCACTCAATAAATAGCTGTTGCTTTCCTTTTTATCCTGTTGTGTTAAGCACACCATTGCATCCAGGTGACCTTTATATTTCTTTGGCAGGGAGATATAATAAATACTCCAGGAATCTACCACAAACTCCTTGGATAATTGACGGAGAAAGGAAGCTGGACTCTTCAGTGGAAGAATTAATTTCAGACCATCTTTTGACAGTGTTCAAAGCAGAGAGTAAGTGTTATAATATCCATATTTTAGTTACATTGTCATTCATGAATAGACTTCTTGAAGGTGGCAGGAAAGATTTCTATATTTTGTAAACCACCACCAAGTCTGGGCCCCTTGGCTGGCAGCTTCCTGTGAACAGGGACCGCTGTGTCCTGAGCTCCTCTGCCCTGGGCTGGATTTGAGCCAAGGTGCCCTAGGATTTCTCTCCTCTCTCAAGATTACGCTTTTTCCTGGGCAAATTCAAAACAATTGAAACTACTTTAAATGAATGCACTTAAGCTCTGACCTTGGGACACCTTGAGCCTCTGCCTCTTTTTGGGAATATGAGGTAATTAAAATACAGCTTCCACATCAAGTGCTGTTCAAGAATAATCACTGGCAAATGCCCAGCTTCCATCTTAACGGCTAAAGTAGCCTAGAATAAAGTTCAGGCCTAGAGAAAATAGATCAATAGCTACCATTTTACAAAGACTTAATAGTAGTTGTGTTGTTTTAATTTCCTAAGTATTAATGAGCCCAGGTTTGTGGGGTGAGTCAGATCCTGTCAGGCATATGCTTTCTTTGCTCAATAGGGCTATCAGGTCAAAGGAGTAAAAAAACCTTGTGATTTCACCTAGGATTAGACTAGAGGAAAGGGACTAAGATTTCAATCACAAGAAACCATGTTGTACATCAGGGGAAACTGTAGACAATGAGTAAGTATATCATACTCTTTGGAGTGGGTCTCCTAGCATAATTAGAACACCTTTTAAAAAAATATTTATTTATTTATTTGGTTATGCCGGGTCTTAGTTGCGGCAGGCAGGCTCCTTAGTTGCAGCATGTGGGCTCCTTAGTTGCGTCAGGCAGTCTCCTTAGTTGTGGCATGTGAACTATTAGTTGCGGCAGGCATGTGGGATCTAATTCCCTGACCAGGTATTGAACCCGAGGCCCTGCATTGGGAGCATGGAGTCTTATCCACTGCTCCACCAGGGAAGTCCCAGAACACCTTTTTTGAAGGACCAGATAGACCAAGACATCCATCTTTTTCTCTCACAAACCTTGAGACAAGCCTGCTTTAGGAATGGCGAGCAGGTAACCAAAATGAGACATGGCTATCCCTTCCAGCTCTCTGCTTGTTAAGAGGAAAGAGAAGCACTTCAAAAACCATATCCCTCTTATAATTTGTTGCCTATCAGGTAGGTGGGCCCTTTTAAAAAGGGCCTTTAAGAATTGTTTACTGAATGGAGAAGAAAGTAACCTAGCAACGTAATATTTTTCAAAATCTTAGCTGTAAAGGGCTATTGCCACGAGCTTTTACCTACTTGATTTAATATTTACACGCTGATTATCTCCTAAGACTTACCCAAGTTACGAAGAAGTGAAAATAAAGCGTTAGCATGAAAAGTGTCCTTCAGACTCTTTTGGGGGGGCTACCTTATTCCCTTTCTGTAAGAAAATTCAAGATTTTGTTCTGATTATTTGGGTTCCAAGGAAGCCTCCATTACCAAGAGGGCTGTTGGGGGGCTCTAAAATAGCTATATGTTTCCCCCTTGAAATCTTTCATGAAGGTGATTTGTTGTCATTTTCCATTTGAGGAGGGAAAAAAAATTTCTCCAAACTGAAAATAAAGCAAACTGTGTGTTTAGCATCTGTAATTGTGTGCTGAGGAAATTTATTAAGAGCCGCTTGAGAAAAAGCAGACCTCTGGGCCTCTGTGCTAACTGGCTCCTTGTCGTGAAATAAAACCTTGTTGTTTGAAATGCCTGATTAATAGCATCGATTTGCTAAACTTGTGCTTCTCAGATACATTACTCGTTACCTCTGTGATTCACATCTGACAACTCTGGGAAAATGGTTCTGACTGTTGTACCTCTGTACTTTACAGCTCTATGAAAATAAACCAGTATTGCATGAAGCAGCCTAGCTACTTCTATAAAGCAGAAGTAACTAGTACTCCTTCCCCTCAGTGGGAGATACAAACTTGTTTCTCAGCCACTTCAGACTGACACATCATATTCTCTACTTGCCAGTTCTCTAGTTAATAAGTAAAACTTTGACACACTCTCAAAATCAATATGTCTAAGAAATGTTTTCCTAATACATTTATTACTTCACTTATGGAATAAATATTTGTCATGTCAGTTCCCCGCTGAAAACTGGTCAGTGACTAGCTACAGGGTAAAGTCCAAACTATTTAACTTGATATTCTGAGACCGTCATCATCTGGCCTCTGCCCATCCTTCAGTCCCATTGTCTATCTGCCCCCAGGTATGAGAGCCACTACAGACTATTGAACCCCTTGCAGTTCCTGATCATTCTTGCCCTTGGTTTTGTCCTTGTTGTTTGTTTGTTTGTATGTTTATCTGTTCCATTGAGCAGAAGTCTGTAGAACTCACAGGATTAGGGGGATAAGGCAAGGCGTAATGTGAGTTTAGAAAAATCAACTAAATTTTTCTTTTTTTTTTTTGCGGTACGTGGTCCTCTCAGTGTTGTGGCCTCTCCCGTTGCGGAGCACAGGCTCCAGACGCGCAGGCTCAGCGGCCATGGCCCACGGGCCCAGCCGCTCCGCGGCATGCGGGATCCTCCCGGATCGGGGCACGAACCCATGTGCCCCGCATCGGCAGGCGGACTCTCAACCACTGCGCCACCAGGGAAGCCCCAACTAAATTTTAAGCATATATTTCCTCATACTTAAGGCAGTGACTCCTTTTCCTTTTTTTGTCATTTATTATTCATGATTGCAAATTATTTTTTAAAGTTTGCCCCCTGAAGTATTTCTCAATGTAGGGTCCAAATTTGCAACATTTTTCTAAAAGATATAATAAATACCCCTTCTCCCTTAATCTGGATTTAATGTTTCTTTGGACTTCTCAAGAGCCTAGTTTTCTGTACTTTTTTCTTATTGATGGGCTGGAATTTGTGGGAAGTTTTATGGGCTAATTTATGAATTTGAGATTTCTGGTCTGATTGAGTAGTCACTAGTAGATCTACCTCTTTGTGTCCTGTTCATTCCCTCCACCCCTATCAGTCACAGGTTATGGCTTAGTCACTGTAGGGCCCTGGTTTCCCAGTATTATGCCTGGATTAGAGATGGAGGTGGGCAGGTATAAGACAAACTAGAGCCCCCCACCCCCACCCCAGGGAGTATCTTTCAGCTTTCCAGATGCCATTTTGAACTCTCCATGTAGCTATCCATCCCTAGTTAGCACTACTCTTGAGTCTGTTGACTCTGACTAGAAGCTGCTGATGTTGCTATAGGTTTATTAGCTGCTTGACAATGGAGTATAGACATGGAATGGAGGGTTCTTTGGGACTTAATCGTTCACAGAATCCTACTAACTGCCTGGTGTAGATTCTCCCCCTGGAGAAGAGCCTGACATTGTGCCCCTCATGGCCGCCCTCTTGGCTAGTCCCCAGGTGTTAACACTGCACAAGTTACCCAGACCTCTGAGCAGCTTGAATTCTAGGCCGACCTTAGATACCTAGGCCTTACCTAACCAGTCCTGGCTTGGTCCTCTCTGGGAGACCCACAGTTTTGGGCCATGTGGGGCAGAGAAGAGCCCACTTCACCTTGGCAGTGGGTGACAGGCAACAGCTTGGAGCCCATGTTTCCAACAAGCGTTGGCCTTGACTTGCTAAAGGGAAGTCTTAAAGGTGAAGGAAGGGTGAAACCTTACTTTCTTCACAGCTAAACATCCTAGAAAGGAGAGCTAATCTTCAGTGTAGTTTTTATAGCACTTTTCAAGCCTTTTAGCCTTCCTTTTTCTAAAATCTACATGGGACCTTTGCATATTGAACCTTTCCTAGGAGAAAAATGTCTGTCAAAATGGTACAGACCCTCCTTCCCTTCTACCTTTCCTGTCTGTCCTTCCCAGCAATCTTGTCCTTCCTCATCTTGTGCTCTCCAAAGTGGCTGAACTATGGATTGACCAGGGTTTCCAAAACATCCTAGTCTTTCCCAGTCCCTGGTACAAGAGGACTGATTGGTCTTGCTTGTCCCAGTTGGCACGAGTCTGAGCTCTTCCAGCTGTCTTTGTGGTGGTGCAGTGTAGACAGTGATTAAGAGACTCTGGAGCCAGACTGCCAGGCTGGTTCAAATCCTGACCCTACCAATTACCAGTGATGTGATCCTAGGCACGTTACTTATGCTGTCTCTGTCTCACCTTCCTTATAAGTAAAATGGGGATAATGATAGTATCTACCTCATAGTGTTAACATATATGAAGTACTTAGAATAATGCCTGCTCATGGTAATCTTTCCTGTGGTGAAATCATCAGTTATTTCTGTATCTAAGAAAGTTGTCATGGAACCACTTCCCCTGCCCACCCACACTGTATTGACCACTTTCCCATTCCAATATTTGCAGCTTTTAGTCTGTGATGATCCATCTATCTTAAAATGTATACTAGTTATATTGTGGTTCCAGCTTACATAATGAATTTCCTTTTAGAATCAAACCTTTTTTTCCCCCCTCCTCTTCCTTTCATAGAGTTTAATTCTCAAATAATGTTTTTATTTTGTTTTCTTTTGTTTTAAGGAAAAGACGAAAGATAGATTTTTCACCATAAGTTTGTAGCCAGGGTGGTAGTGGGGCCTTCCTCCAAACAGTGCTCTGCCTTTGGCTTTCCCATGGGATGGTGGGCTGGGATGATAAGTAAGGTCTGGCTTTGACATCAGAAACATCTACCTCTGCCATTTAATCATGTTCCCTTGGGAAGAGTACTTAACCTTTTAGAAGCTTGGTGTTCTTTTATTTAATACCTACCTCATAAGGTTATAATAAGGATTGAATGAAATAATGTATGCAGAATTTTAGCTCAGTACCTGGTATGTAATAAGTGCTCAATAAGTGGTATTTATTATTATCATTGCTATTTTTAGTAGAGATTGGGATTAGAGGTGTGATGATGACTATTCCTTGGGATTCTCTTGTAGATTGTTTAAGACAAATTGGGTTTCTACCAAAGGATGGGAATGAAAGTCTTAGCACTGTTATGTCTCTGATTTTTTTTTTCTTTATCTGCTTTCCAAAGGCTTTAATTTTTCATCCTCTGGGAGAGAAGATGTAGATGTGAGAACATTAGGAAATGGTAAGATTGTGACAATATCACTTGACTGGAACTAACTTTCAGATTATCACCCTTTTCAGACAGCAGCTTTTTTGTAGTCACTTAGTCATAATCAAAGTTGGCAGAGTCCAGAGCTTCTCCATGTGAGGAAGCCTTGTGGATTATGGAGCTACCCTTGTAAATTATATGACTATGTTTTAACAGGGATCATTTCTTCAGAGGCCATCTTTATTGAATACCTGTAGGTTATAAGGGACTTCTATGTGCATTAACAAAGAGGTGCCTGATTTTTTCCAAAACTTTGATAATTAATTGTTCCTTTTAATAACATTTCAGTACCAGTACAATTTTCAAAATGCACCTCATTTAAATTGCAAAATGTCTTCATTTAAAAAGTGCTTCTGCTCTCTTAGCCTTCATTTCTCTCATTTTACATTGTTGCATTACAAGAAGGATGATGAGAGTAATCCTGAGGTATTCGAGATTTATAGTCCCTTCTTCTCATGGAATCTCAGCTTTTCATTTCACTAGGCTAGGAGAATGTATTTCAATTTGGTATACCTGGGCATTGCTGCATGTGACAACATTACGTTAGTGTAACCAGGTCAATTAGTGGCTGTTTGGATTTGATTTTGTAATTAACACAGGCTTGTTCATGGACTTTTGGGAAAGCAGTCGTTTTTACATATTGCCTGTCCTGGGGTTTAGCAGCCCCCAAACAGCCCCTTGATTCTTTTCACACATTCTTCTCTCCCCCAGATGTAGTCATGTCACTAAACTTTCAGTCCTCTAGAGCTCAACTCGTTTTTTCACACCTCCTAACCCTCTTGCATTAGCCCAAATGTTAACTCCATCAACACGTTTCTGTTTCATGACGGGGTGTGTGCTGCCAGGAAGGCCCTTTGCAATTGAGCTGGTGAATCCTCATAGAGTACATTTCACTTCACAAGAAATTAAGGAACTTCAGCAGGTAAACCACTTCATGACATGGAAATTGTCATGTTTCTGCAACTCTGTAACTGAACTAGAGTTGCTAATTGTTTTTCTTTCTCTAATACTACAGAAAATTAATAACTCGTCTAACAAAATCCAAGTCCGTGACTTGCAGCTTGTCACAAGGTAAGGGTAGGATCACTGGAGATGTTTTCAAGAGGGGAGTTTTGGTTGTAGATCATTTATCTGATAAGGGATTTGTATCCAGAATATGTAAAGAACTCCTACAACTCAATAATAAGAAAATAACTCAATTAAAAATGGAGAGATGATTAAGTGAACATTTCTCCAAAAAGGATACACAAAATAACCAGTGAATACATGAAAAAATGCTCAACATCATTAGTCATTAGAGAAATGCAAATCAAAACCACAGTGAGATCCCACTTCACAAAAAGACAGAAAATAACAAGTGTTGGCAAGGATATGGAGAATTGGATCCCTCATACATTGCTGTGGGATTATAAGTGGTGCCACTTTGCAAAACAGTTTAGCAGTTTCTCAAAAAGTTAAATATAGAGTAACCATATGGCCCAGCAGTTCCACTTCTAGATATATACCCACGAGAAATGGAAATGTACATCCACACAGAGACTTCTGCATGAATGTTTATAGTAGCATTACTCATAATAGCAAAAAAGTAGAAACAACCCAAATATCTATGGATGAACAAAATGTGAATGTGGTATATCCATACAGTGGAATATCATTTAGTAATAAAAAGGGATGAAGTACAGATACATGCTACAACATGGATGAACCTTGAAAACATTATAAGGTGAAAGAAGCCAGACATCAAATACCACTTATTGTGTATTTTACAATATTCACATTTTAATATATGAAATGTTCAGAGTAGGAAAATCTATAGAGACAGAAAGTCAACAAGTGGTTGCCAAGGGCTGGGGGAAATGAGGAATGAGAAGTGATTGCAAATAGGTGCGGAGTTTCTCTTCTGGGGTGATGAAAGTGTTCTAAAGTTAGATTGTGGTAATAGCTGCACAACTCTGTAAACGTACTAAAAATCACTGAATCGTTCAGTTACACAGGGGAATTGTATGTAAATTATATCTCAATAAATCTATTTTTAAAGAAAGGGAAGTTTGGGGCAAGTCTTGTCTGTATTTTATATATTCAGACAAACTTTCTTCTATTGTTTTTGTTTAGAGAGGCAATAGGTCATATGAAAGAAGGTGAAGAAGAAAAGACCAAGACCTATAGTGCCTTAATATGGACAAATAAAGCAATACAGAGGAAGGACATTGAATTCCTAGATGACATAAAGGTAGTTCAGTGCTCTAATTCTTTTATTTTTCTACTGCCTGTAAAAGAGTCCTTTGTCTTCTCGTTTATTACCAACAAGTCATAGCGCATAGGCTTTGGGGACTGTGAGACCTGGTTCCAAATCTTGCCTTTGCCATTTACTAGCTAAATGACTGGGCAATTCATCTAACCTGTGTGAGAAGCAGTGTTGCTAGTGATTAAGAGTCTGACTCCAAGGACAGATTGTCTGGGTGCAAATCCTGCATTTCTTAGTTGTGTGACTTTGGACAAGTTGCTTAGCCTCTTTATGCTTCAGTTTTCTTCATCTGTAAAATTAGTTAGAAGAATTAAACGGGGTTAGCCATATAAACCTCTTAGAATAGAATCTGACACATAGAAAACACTCAGCAATGCTATTATTATATTTGGCCATTTGCAAAAAGGAAATAGAAAATAGAACTTATCTAATAGAATTGATGCTCAGATTAAGTGCATAAATAAAACATGTTGTAAATAGGGCTTCCCTGGTGGCACAGTGGTTGAGAGTCCGCCTGCCGATGCAGGGGACACTGGTTTGTGCCCCGGTCTGGGAACATCCCACATGCCACGGAGCGGCTGGGCCCGTGAGCCATGGCTGCGAGCCTGTGCGTCCGGAGCCTGTGCTCCACAACGGGAGAGGCCACAACAGTGAGAGGCCCGTGTACCGCAAAAAAAAAAAAAAAAAAAAAGAACAACTCCAAATGGCCAAGAATCATTTGAAAAGATGTTCCACCTCCAGATTGAAGTAACAATAAGACATCACTTTATTCTTCTGAGACTAAGAATACCTGTTGGTTGGAGGGAGGAGAAGGCTAGTTATATACATTTTCAGTAGAAATGTAAGTGTTTCAGCCTTTTTGGAAAACAATGTGGCAGTGACTGTAAAAATAAAAAATAGACTGGTCTTCTACCCAGTACTTCCACTACTGGCAGGACAAGAAATAAAACTCCAGTGCATAAGGATATGTGCACAAGGATGTTTGTTGACTTTGTTCAGAGTGACAAAATCAACAACAAAACTGGAAACAAAAGTGAATTTCCTTCAATAAGGAAATGGTAGAACACGTTGGAATATTATACTGCTGTTTAAAAAAACTAAAACTGCATGTGATCCCATTTAATTTACGTTATTGTGTGTATATATGCCTAAAACTGTTGGAAGAAAAGATAGAGGTAGGTCTACATCTAGGACTTGTAGGAACACCCATGATGTTACCGGAAAAAAGCAAGGTGCAAAATAACGTTTATAGTATGAGTGTTTTGGTGAAAACATACATGTCATTAACCTGCTTAGAGAAGTTTACCTATAAAATGAGGGGTGGACTAGATGATCCCCAGTGGGCCCTCCACTTCTCAGGTTCTGTGATTCCAAATCTAAGGCCTTCTGGCCTCTGGCCCTATTATCTAGGGTCTTTAGGATGATAGTTATGCTATAGACAGATATCCTTAAGATTGTAAAACAAATTTGTAAACCTCTATTCTATCACATGTGTACATGTATACAGCTCATTTAGAATGCTGTGGGGAAAATAAAAACTCATTTTAAAAATAGATTTACAGTTTGGGAGTAGCCATAGAGCTAATTCAGAAATGATGCTGAAAGATGATTGTTATAGGTACACACTAAGTAGTGAAAGGGTCTGATTTAATGGCCCACTGCCCAATTGGACTGATGAGACTAGGTGACGTCTAATAATTTTTTTAAAGTGTTAGGGTTAAAACATTTTTCAGATACTCCTATTGGCATCAAAAATAAAAAAACTGAGTTACTGCCCCATTCTGAGAAAAGGTCACTTCAAATTTACCACTTGCCTCCTTTTTTTTAAGGGCAACCTACTTCTAAGGAAAAAAGTCACCTACGTGTGTTTCTGAAAATTCAGTATGGGGATATGAAAGCGGTTTCCTTTCATTTGCTAGACACAAGCAACCAAAAACGACACGCAAGTGTGTTGATCTGAGTGTTATGTTGGAAGCAGTGGTGCATCTACTAGCTCAGTTGTACCTCCATTGACTGCTCCTGGGTCAGAGTCCAGGGGGTGACTCTAGGTAAAGGAAACAGAGGGGAAGGGAACACCTTAGCGAGTCACTCCGTTAAAGGCCAGCTGGTTCCGTGCTCTTAAGTGGAGGCCATATCTTTATTGATTCTATAATAATTCAGCCTTGTCCTTTTTTTGGTCTTTTTGGCCAGAGTAATGTTAAACGTTGTGGAAACAACTTATCTCATCAGAACAAAGTGCTTCTAAAAATCAAAGAATTATAGAATCATAAGGAGGAGTCACTGACTCACTGCTCTGATAAAAGCAGTCATACCATTTCAAGTGTAGTCTTTGTCAGAACCTGTTCTTCTTTCTTGGTACAGAATTTGGTAGGGGGAGACCAGACAGAAATTTTTCTTTTCTCAGCATGGCTTTAGGCACTCACTAATCATGTAAATCAGGCAGGAGTTGTTCCTACAAGAAAGTTCAGAGGATTCAAAGTTCTTATGAACCTGAGTTGCTGGTTATGCCCAATATCTTTTTTTTTTTTTTCCCGATACGTGGGCCTCTCACTGTTGCGGCCTCTCCCGTTGCAGAGCACAGGCTCTGGACACTCAGGCTCAGCGGCCATGGCTCACGGGCCCAGCCGCTCCGCGGCATGTGGGATCTTCCTGGACTGGGGCACGAACCCGCGTCGGCCGCATAGGCAGGCGGACTCCCAACCACTGCGCCACCAGGGAAGCCCAACCTCTATTTCTTAATTTATATCTTGTGACATAAAAGGACATCTCTAATTGTGAGAAAAACAAGACTTTGTCCCTAAAAACCTGAGTTGTAAAGAAACATGCAGTATTATTCTCAAGTAACCTGAACTGGGCTAACAAATATTGAGAGGTCCTGGCTTATTGTACACACTTATTTGTAATTATTATTTGGAAATACCACCCTAGACAGAGATGCAGCTGTTAATTTTCCAGATAAATCCTTTTGTATAACCAAAAAAAAAAAAAATCCTGTGAGTAGGTATATGGCTCTCGCTAAAACATGAACACTGCCCAGGCACACAGGTGATGCTCATGTCCCACCTTCTACACCATTTCTCACCTCAGTCTGAAATCTCCACTATTAGGTCACTCTGTTGGGTTAGGGAAAAAAAAGGTAAGAACATTATCTTTTAGAAGAGCTCTATTTAAAGGGCAGGATAAGACTCCAGGGTCCAATCAATTTGTTAATATTAGAGCAAAAGAGACCTTGGGTATCATTTACTTCAAAGCCTTTTTTTAATGGCATACTGGGGCCCAGAAAATGAGTAATTGTGGCCTAGGTTATAGGAAGTCTCACAGAGTCTGAACCTTAGAGGATACAATTTATGATAGTACTAGTTTCTATCCTGACACTGATAGATGGGGGTGCCTGTAGTGAGCCATGGATGAACAAAGGAGATGCTAAAATGGGCTTCACTGGGCGGCAAAGCTGACGCATGGTTATCATATCCTCCTCTAGGACTTAAAGATTGACCAGAAAACACCTTTACGGGTCCTTCACCGGAGGCCCCTGGCTGTGAGAACTCGCATCATTCACTCCATGGAGACACACTATGTGGATGAGCACCATTTCCGCCTCTACCTGAAGACTCAGGCAGGAACGTATCCTTTCACTGTCTGTGTAGCACTAATCTAATCAGAATCCTATTGGGCAAGTTCATGCTGCCCTAGAAAAGAGGTTCAACCTTATCTCGGAACAGTTCGGGAAAGGTTTGGGCTGGAGAAGAATCCTTTTTTTGTTTTTCGTTTTTTTTTTTTTTTTGGTCTGGAGTGTTTTTACCCATTAAATTTGTGTTTTTCAAGATGACATATTAAACCATGAGGCAGCAGCGAATTCAATGTGAACCTTAAAATTTTTAGTGTCTCACATCATGCTGAGGTGCTGAGGGCATAGTAAGTGCTCAGGGAACACTTTTAATTGATTCATTCATCGATTCATGTCTTTACACATTTTGCAAGTCACATATTCATGACCACATTTGAGTCCTTTCAGCATTTCGAGCATTTGCCCCAAATGATTAAACAGGGATGGTAGATGGGAATGGCCCTACTTTACATGTAGACCATCACATTATTTGGCCACTGGCCCAGAACAAGAGAATAGTCCCAGTTTGATCATTTGTTCATAACTTACCCTGCTTTGTGTGGTTTTGTATCATATCTTAGTTGCTGGTTAAAATATATCAGGGAGCTGCCATAGTCTTAGCTTTAGTTTAGTTTTCAAAGGTGCTCCTAGTTTTTGTTTGTTTCTTGGCTTTATATTATTTTGTGATCCAATAGCATGAAGCATGAAACCTTCTAATTAGTATAAAACTAATGACATACTTATTGGATACAATAGAGGGGAAAATGTCATTTTAATCACCAAATAGCATTCTCACTATATTGCTATAATTAATCTGCCTCTCCTTTCCCATCAACCTTCTCTCCCCTCTTCTTTCCCTACTCCACCCCAGGACTGACTAAGCTGAAACAGGTACAGGTTATTTACTCCTAAAATCTTCTAAATTTTTGCAGTTTGGATCTATTTAGACCAGTGGGCATGGAGCACATTTGCCTATTGTAGATGGAATGTGGATGGAATTTCAAAGAAATCACAGATTTTAAAAACATATTTTTACCTAATTTCAGCTTTGGTTTTGGTGTGCTAGGAAGAAATGCAATGGTCTTATGGAGAAGCTAATGTCTTTTCAATCTCATTAACATATTTTTAGAACCAGCCATGTACATGTACTTAAGGCATTAGCCAAGAAAGGCTATTTGGTAAAACTTTATTTTTTTATAAATTTATTTATTTTATTTATTTATTTTTGGCTGCGTTGGGTCTTCGTTGCTGCACGCGGGCTTTCTCTAGTCACGGCTAGTGGGGGCTACTCTTTGTTGTGGTATGCGGGCTTCTCACTGCGGTGGCTTCTCTTGTTGCAGAGCACGGGCTCTAGGCACGCGGGCTCAGTAGTTGTGGCTCACGGGCTCTAGAGCGCAAACTCAGTAGTTGCGGTGCATGGGTTTAGTTGCTCCATGGCATGTGGGATCTTCCCGGACCGTGGCTCAAACCCATTTCCCCTGCATTGGCAGGCAGATTCTTAACCACTGCACCACCAGGGAAGTCCCTATTTGGTAAAACTTTAGATACCATGTGGTTATACACAGAAGTATGTGAATTTTTTTCGTATATTGCTCAGTATAATGAAGTAGTTCATTTGACTTATACCTCATAAAAAATATTCTGGACCTTTTAACTGGTTATTCTGGGGCTTTTTGGTCATCTCCCCTCATCATTGCTACTTAGAAGTAGCACTCTCTAAAGAAGTGAGAGAAAAAGGACAATTGTTGAGTAATTATGAGTTTAGCAAAGAAGACAGTTAATAGATAATTATATGCCTTATGCTTGAGTCAAAACATTTGGTGAAAGTATAGTAAACAAACTATGAGAAAGTGAGGAGGACATAATGTCAGCATATTATGGTGTTAACTTTTTATTTATCATCTGAGAATAAACTTTTTTATATTCAAATTATATTAATTTTTATACTAAGTGCTGCTTTATAGACACAACAATGCTAAATGAGTGTTTACTGAATGCTGGCAAAAACACATCTTTCAGATAAAATACTGTTAAGATTATAGTAGAGTTCTGTGTAAGGAGTGTTAAGGTAATCTGAATAATTCTAGGATCAGTCATTGACTTTGAAATTTTGAAGATCTATGAGGAAAACACACACAAAAAGAATTAGGTCTGTTGCTAACCATGCAAGAATTGCAAACAACTAAAATTTACGTCCTTTGATGATCCTTCTGAAGGGCCTTCATCAAGTCTAAATTAATAAGTTCATTTTCTCTCCCATCCTGTTGCTCTTGTCACTGGGTCATGTTATAAGGAAAGCCATCATTGAGGTCGCTCTATGAGTGACCCTGTGAAAACCTACCATTTGGCAGCTGCCTACTGTCATTATCGAAAAATGATGAGACCAAAAAGATGACCCAATAGAATCTGTGGCAAAAAAGAAAATAGCTGAGGTTTTTTTTTACTATAGTTAATTTAAAAAATCCATATTCAAACCTTGGCACTTGGAGATGAGCCAAAAGAAAAGTCATGACTCTTGGGAAGTTTGACATGGGCCCTAGGTCCCAGTGTTAGCTGCCAGGCTGGTAGGAACCAGTTTGCCATCCTTAGTTTATTTATTGCCATAGCTGTAATTTCTAAGACATACATCCCAAGTCATGGCTCAGAAATAAACTCCCTTTTATAACCTTTCTGCTTTTGTTTGTCATTTCCCCTTCAACCTGTCAAATCTCATCAAACAGTTGGTGTTGCATGGTTATCTTCATTTTTTCCTTAAACAAAACCCAGCTACATTAAAGAGTTTGTACATGGAGACTTTGGAAGAACGAAGCCGAACATTTGCTCTCTGATGGATGTGACTGCAGACATTCTTGAGCTGGATGTTGAGGTAAACCATTTTATTGGGAAATGCCTGTTTGTACGCTGAATCAGCCAAGGTTATGCTTTTTTAGCATTAAACCAAATAGTACTATTCACTTTAATAGGTATTTGCAAACAGTCAAAATCTCACAGTAGCATTGAATTGCAGGGAGGGACTATCTTCAGAATTTTTATTTTTTAAAAAACACAAGGTCTCATTTATAATCCTTGCAAATATATAGCTAATTTACTAACTGTGCTTTACGTATGACATGAGATCTAAACCCTTAAACCAAGCAAGGAAATGAAGTTGTAAGTGCCCTTCATATATCCTTTGGACTCTCTTATAAAGAATTTAAGGCAGCCTCCTCAGAAACATATATTCAGGACAGGGATAGAAAATGGGATGAGCTAATTGTTATAAATAAAAGCAGTTCTATAAGGGTTCTGTGATGTGGTATAAGAGAAATTCTCTGCTCTTATAGTCTGAATTGAAATCAGATTACATTCTTAAGTAATTAGAAGAATGGAATGAATGGATCTTTCAGACAATTCTCCATAAACATTTTTCTCATTTGAGCATCAATAGGTATTGAGTCACGAGTTGTGCACTTTGGTAAATATCTGGTTAAGAACAGCTTCCCCACACCCCACACAAAAAAAGGAATTTTTGCACTTGGGAATAATCTCAGTATAAATAAAAAGAAGTGGGTATAATTGCCTAGTATGAAAACAGCCATGGTAATCAAATGATCACTGGAATGTCATTGCTTTACCAGCACTTCTCTTGAGTGCGTTCAGATTAGATTTTATACACCTGTGGTACAACCAGTGCTAGCATCTTCAAGGTTGCAGGGAGTCTTCTTAGTAAGACTATCATTTTGAGGAAGACAACCTTCTCTTAAAGAAAATCCCAAATGCATTCATCTTCTTTGACCTTAATTCTTAGGACAGCTTAGGAGTGTCAAAGAGCCGAAGGCCGGGGTTTCTCAGCCCTGATTGTCCATTGCAATCACCTGTAGAATTTTTAAAACCCTACAAACATGCCTACCTTCCCCTGACCTCAACACATACAAGATTGTGATCAGTAATGTTTGGTTTTCAGGCTTGAGAAACCACCCACTAATTTATATATGGGTGTTTGTTTTATGGCTATATTCTGAAACAAAACCAAAGTATTTCTTGGCATCTGTAAAAGATACACACACACACACACACACACACACACACACACACACACACTTATTTGGGCTTTTCTAATAAAAATTTCCAAATCTGGTAGTGACTCAGATTAATTTTAAAAATAATTTGTAGTAAATCATTTCAGGTTTTACACTTTAATTCTCAAAAAACTACATGGGTATGGTAGTTATTTTGTTTTTCTTTGTTCGTTTTTTGTATTTTTTTGTTTTAACTTCTAAATTAGGCCCTCTAGGGTAGTTAAGGCAAAGTGCAATTTCATACTTCTAATGCCTGGGACATGATTATTTATGTGGAGACAAATAGTCTGCTACTGTAATTCCATTATGACTTAAAGATCAAGGTTTCGTTCTAGAAGTGCCAAACCAGGATGAGTAGAGATAGATAAATTCAATTTTAAGAGAAACAAAAATTCTGCTGAAGTGACATGCAAAGATCTCTAATCCTTTTCTAGTTACAGGTGATCTTTCATAACCATTTATTTCACATTTAGTTGCTAAGTTACAAACAAGATTATAAGTATATAGACTACTTGAGTACTGTTAAATGCAAGATGGGAAAATGAAAACAGTCAGAAGACTAAAAGTTCCTGAGACTTCTGAGGGAAAGTTGGTGTTGGCCCTGCATTATTTGCTACTTTTCCCATAAATAACATTTGAAAAATTTAAACATACTCTAGTCTTGTATTGACCAAAAGGTACAATTAATAACTGGCTGAGTAACCAAATACTCAGTGAATTCAGGAACAGACCTCAGGCCCAAGAATCCCAGGTCCTAGAATGGATTTTAGAGTGTGAAATCGTGGTGTTCAATGGCTCTTTTCTTCCAATGCAGTTTCTTCTGTTGCATTATATTAAAACTACTAGACTTATACAGCATTACCGGCAAATGCTTACTAGAACAATAATGTTTTAATGACTTGTTTTCTTCTTTCTAGTCTGTAGATGTCGATTGGCCGCCTGCTCTGGATGACTAGCTTTCAATGGGAAACAAAGAGTAGGGTTTTCCAGCAAAATGTGGACGTCCATTCAGCATACACTGTAAGATGGCTGTTTTTACCCACCATAACGGTGTCTTGGAAACCATTTGGATCATGTTGATCTATCTATTTTTAAATTTGTTGTAACATCTCAGGATCTATGTACATGTATATTTTGTGTTGAATTGTCCTAAGGATGTCTTATGATTTTTCTCGTTCCTTCTCCAACCCCCCACAAGCCAAACTATGAATAATGAAATCATTCATTCAGAGAGGTACACAAACAGGATACATTCTCTGAAAATCTGAGAAGCTGTAATTTCTTTCAGCAAAATTGCCCTCCACAGGATAGATACCACTTTTTTTTGTTTTGTTTTTGCGGTACGCGGGCCTCTCACTGTTGTGGCCTCTCCCGTTGCGGAGCACAGGCTCCGGACGCGCAGGCTCAGCAGCCATGGCTCACGGGCCCAGCCACTCCGCAGCATGTGGGATCTTCCCGGACCGGGGCACAAACCCGCGTCCCCAGCATCGGCAGGTGGACTCTCAACCACTGCGCCACCAGGGAAGCCCAGATACCACTTTTTAAATCAGGTTTAAAATTTTTTAAATGATCTTGATAAAAGTTACATCTAGATTTATGCAGCACAGTATCCTTGTAATATCCTAAGATACCAAATGCAAATCTGACATCATTAATATTTTTCCCAGTAAGCTTCAAGCAAGCTATTACCAATAGAAGTGTGTTTTGGTACAATTTGTCACAAACTTTAATGACTCCAAGCTACTCTTTTGACAATCTAAAATTGTCAGTACATTTCCTGGGGGAGAGAATGTGAGACCTTAGGAATTGAGGCATACCATAAGAGACTTTCATAAATCTTTTAAATAAGGAGTCACAAGTGCCTTCAATGACTTCAATCCCAGGGATAAGATTTTGAAAAATTGACATTGCTAAACAAAGGTAAGCTGATATTATTCCAGAGTGCTTCAATGTATTATCCAATTTCAAACATCTTCATCAGGTAGATAGGGTATTATCTCCACTTTATAAATATGAAAACCAAAGAATAGAAGTGAACTGACTTCTCTAAAATTGTTAGTTACTTCCATATCTAGGACTAGGACTGAAGTTTCCCGGTCTCTAGGGTCTTTTCTAATAAATCTTATTATTGAGCATCTGCTACATGAAAGGAGGCAACCAAGAATGTCATTTTAATGGACATAACCATGAGAATTGACTTTTGGAATTTAGATACCAAATCAAGCTTACAAAAAAATTGCCCAAGTAAATTTCACGTGAGCTCATATGATTACCATTTGTTAATTAATCATTAGTTGGTACTACGAAGAGGAAAAACATTAAAGAAGCAAAGAAAATGGATAGATCATTAAGAGAAAAGTTTCAGAAAAGAGTCTCATTCAAATTTCAGATTTAAGTGCAGTTTCCATCACCCTGATTCAACTTTCTGAGCTTATTTTGGAACATATGACTTGGATAGTATTGGATTATTCAACTTCCCATCTCTACATTAAACATGATTCAGAGATACTAAGTTGTATCATTCACCTTAAGAATCAGGAAAACAGTTTAACTGACATGAAGAAATTTCATATGTGAATAATAGCAAATAACTTTTTCATTATTTTCAATGCCGGTAAATGAGAAAGGGATAATAGAAATAAACTTGATAAAAAGGTAAGAACGTTTGTGTGAATGTTTCTCAGTTTGGGGGGAAACTTTGCTACAAAAGAGATTTAAATAATTTGGGAAATCGTCTTTTGCAGGTTTCTTTTTGGCTCAGCTTTGAATTTAGTGGATCTGCAAATGGAAGAATTAAGAATCTCCTTAGCAAACTTAAATTAGAAGACTTGTTTCTTAAATTTCTATTCCTGGGATTATACAGAATTTCAAGAGTAAGCATTAACTGCAAATACTTATTCCAAATATCCATATGAGACATAGGTTGTTAAAAATTAATGTAGGTCTTTATTTAAGCAGAACAGAAGACATTAAGTCATGAGAGTACTACACAGTTTAACTTTTGCCTATATAAAAATATTTTTAAATTACTTTTGTGATCTTCTATAGCTTATTTAAAAAAAAACCAAAAAACACTTAAGAGAAAGGGCCTTTTGTACTTTTAGTATCTCTTTGTCCCAAATATAGTCTGTGGTTTAGTTTAGGAAAAACACCGAGTACCTGGAAAAATGGGGAAAAAAATTTTTGGTAAAATGAAAAATTTCCCAAGTAAGGTAACTGATTTCATTTACAAGTTATATGAAATCAATTTAGAAGTTAAATTTCTATTTCCAAAGAGAAAAAGGCATCTTACTTAGATAGATCTTTTGGGGCTTTATTCTTTGATTTTTAAGGCCATATGAGAATGAACTTTGATGTAAGCTTTCCTGAATTGATGTTTTTAAATGCTGCCCTTTATTATTATAGGGAAAATAAATTTTTCAATTCAATTTTTTCATTTTGAAATAATTTCAGACTTGCAAGAAAAGTACAAAGAATGTTTTTCCCAGAAATGTATCACCCTGAATGCATTAGTAATTCCTACAAACAAGGACAAATTCCGACAAACAAGGACATTCTTCTACTTCCTCACAATGTTAACTATCAAAATCAGATTAACACTAACATTACTATTATGTAATCCACAGGACCCCCCCCACCCCTACCCTGCTCAAATTTCACCAGTTGTCAAAAAATGTCCTTCATAGCCAAGGGATGATACTTTGTATTTAATTATGTCTCTTTAATCTTCACCAATCTGAAACAGTTTGTCTTTCCTTGACTTTCCTTACTTCAACATTTTTTGAGGATTTCAGGCCAGTTATTTTGCAGACTGTTCCTCATTTGGGCTTGCCTGATGTTTCCTTATAATTAGGTTCAGTTTGTACCTTTCTAGCAAGAATACCACAGAAGGGAGATTATCTTCTTGCATCTTCTCAGATGTCACAATTTTGATCACTGCAGTTACTGATGACTCGGCTTTGATCAGTTAACGAAGGTGGTGTGTGCCAATCTCCTTCACTTTTATAGTTACCCTTTTTTCCCTTTAATAAGTATCTTGTAGGGAGACCCTCAAACTTTCATTCACTAGTTTTAGCATTTATTGATGATTTTCACCTGAATCTATTACCACAATGATTATCAAATGATCTTCTAATTCCACCATTCCTTTTGGCATTACACTGAAAGGTAGAGCTTTCCCTTCTTGTGGATTCATGGCATCCTGTTTTATTTGATGGTTTATAATCTGTTACTGACATTTATTTTGATTTCTAAGTGTTGATGTGGCCAGTGGGTGCCCCTTCAAGATGGCTTTGTCCTTGTGGCATGTCCCCATCATTCCTAGAGCATGTTCTTACTTTCTAATACAAAGACATTCCAGGCTCATCTTGTATTTCATCTGCACCAGCCCTGGAATGGGCTATTTCTCTAAGAAAAACTGGTTCCTTTTCATGGAAAATGACAGAAAAAAGATCTGGGCACTAGGTGTGCTCACTGCTGTTGTGGCATTGCTGCTACCAAGCCCTCTCATGGCATGCATGCATGCACACACCCCTATATACTTATCTACATATATTGAAAATTATGAGTTTATACCAGTACTTCCGATTCCAACCTTCTTCTAGTTTTCCCCCTTTCCGCATTTGTAAGTCCTTTCTGACAGTGAGAAATCTGGGTCCATTAGCCTTAACATTTTCCTTAATAGATCATTCCCCCTCATAAGTAACCAATCTCCTGTTGCTGCATCCTTATTTCAGATCACTGAGACTCCCCTCCCTACTACCCTCAAATGTTCCCAGGCTCTACACTGTAATCCCACAATGGGCCACCATCTTTGCCCCCTGTGGCAATAGGTAACTGTACCTTGCTCAGAATAAGCAAACGACTTTTGTCCTGAATTGTTCAGGAAGGGAGAGAGACAGGCAGGAAATAAGTCAGGAAGGCAGAAAATGAAAATCTCTTTAAAAGGCATTTCAGTACTCTACAAAAATTTATTTTATTTATTTGATTTTTTGTGGTACGCGGGCCTCTCACTGTTGTGGCCTCTCCTGTTGCGGAGCACAGGCTCCGGACGCGCAGGCTCAGCGGCCATGGCTCACGGGCCCAGCCACTCCGCGGCATGTGGGATCTACCCGGACTGGGGCACGAACCCGCATCCCCTGCATCGGCAGGCGGACTCTCAACCACTGCGCCACCAGGGAAGCCCAAAAATTATCACTTTAAAGGACAGTTACATATGTAAGTATATTCAGATACAGCATTCCATAAAAATGTCTAATGTTTCTAAGCAACCAAAACTGCCTTTCTCTTTAAGGAGGATGCTATAAATACAAGAAAATCTTGATAATTTTAAAGTCAAACAGCAACAAATTTTTCTAAGGGTTTTAGAATTTTTTCCATTTATTATATTATCAAGAAAAAAATCACTGTATACAAGATATTACAAAAGTAATAAAATATTCTGTACAAAAGACATTTTGACATTTAAAAAATGATTTCAACTTTTAAGTATCACACTTAACATTAAATAATTGAACACTGAGAACTTTTAAAAATCATTTTTTTCAGTGCTTCCAAATTCATTACAGTCATTAAGAAGCATATACAAATAGAACAGTTAAAAAATAAAAATAGCAGTGCCATTCTTCAGGGATTCATCATAGTCAACAGTATTTTTAAGTACATTCTTTTAAAATGGAAGTCATCTCCAAAAGTGTTCATCTGGTCTGAACCATGCATTTAAGAATGCCCATTACCCAAAAACTTTGTGTTTTCCTTTCCATCTCATCTTAAAGCTATCTGAACTGTGCGCCAGCAACCAATATTTTTAGCTGATTACCCAATAAAATCAAGTGTGTCACTAACGAAGTCTCCTGAGACTGAATTCCACAAATGGGGTCCCCAAACACTCCAACTTATTTTTCACTACATTTTATGCAGAGCTGTAATGTTCTGATTAAGGTTTAATTAGAAAAATAAGCAAGATGAATGATACCTTTAACAAAGTTTATATTTTACTTATCTGCTGATATTCCTGAAAACTTGATTTACTGAAGCACCAACATTTTGTACTAATTACTGTATATTACTGTTCACACATAGGTATTTAATAAATTTTGGGTGATTCTTTAAATTTTTGAAGTCCAATAGTAAACTGAAATTGTAGAAATAAGA